TTCCTGCTGTGTTATCAGAAAATCCGAAGAGGCTTTCTCCATTCCCAAGTCTGATTTCAACATCTGTTCTTCGTACAATATCATCTTTTCAATTTTGTAATGGAAAGTAGAGGTGTGATTTTGTCAATTTTGCTTTCTGGCTACTTTTCCAGGAATATATTGAATTAATAAAGCCAAGGGATATCTACATGTAAATAATTCCCTTTTAGGAAACTATTCCCAATAACCTTTGCTTAGACTAATGGATCAGCGAATGCATTTTTCCTATACACTCACAAGGGAGGGAAGACAGCCATGAAAACCTGTTTTCTCGGCAAATCGAAGGTCACATGGACTCTCCCTTCTCCCACCACCTCTGGGTGCAGCAGGGACACATCACGCCTCTGTGTGGGTCCTCTCATTTCTAGGACAGTGCTTGGCCATATGGCCACTCCGGACTTCTTACAGCATTTTAAACATTGTTAACAATGCTGTAGTAAATGTATACTTAAGTGTCACCTGATGTGTCTGCTCTCGCGAGATTTTTGTCAGTTAAATATTTAAGCCAAAATAGTCCTGGGAATTCCCTGGCGGTCCAGAGGTTAGGACTCGGAGCTTTCACTGCTGAGGGTGCGGGTTCAGTCCCTGGCCAGGGAACTAAGATCTTGCAAGCTGCGCAGCACAGGCAAAAAAAAAAAAAAAAAAAAAAAAAAAAGCCAAAAGAGTCCTAGTTAAGTCCACACATCCCCATCCAACCCCTCCAGTTCCCTTGGTCCTTTTCATGCTCTGTTCAACCCTGCCCCAGCCCCTCACTCAGCACCCTCGAAGCCCAGAGTGGGGAGTTGAGTCCCACGAGTGTGGCCACCATGGAAAGATTCGCCCAGAGCAGGTCCCAGAGAGAGACGGGGTCTTGGAAGGTTCTGCAGGGCCACAGTTGCCTCTGGGCAAGAGGGGAGAGAAAGCTGGATGGAAGCAGAGGTCAAGGAAAAGTGGACGAGGTCAGAGGCCAAAGAAAAGCCACGCGGACAATGACAAAAGGGTGCCTCTGCCGCTGAATTCAATCTGGGACCTTGAGTCTGGAGCCAGGGACAAGTAGGAGGAAAATGGAGGCTGTGTGAGCCCTGGGGAAACAGCAGAGGGTCCCAGCCAGCACTTATCCAGGTCCGGGGCCGGGGCTGAGAACGTCTGCACTGCCAGGCAGCCCTCACCAGCAAGACTGCAGCCTGAGAGAGCCACCTGCTCTCTCGAGGTGAACCTGCCGATGTGAGTGGGTGCAGCTTGCCCTCCACACCCCGAAACTGCCAGGTGGGTGCCCCTCCAGACAGCAGGCTGCCCGCCACCATTCAGGGCTCCCTCCCAGTTGTGGCAGGCCTGGGTTCTGTCAAAGGATCCTCGCTGGGGACCTGAGGACCATCTCCTGGTTTAGGAGGTCAGAGGCCCCCCACCCAGCCCCTCACCTGAGAGGGTGTCAGGCCTTGAGCCCCCATCTTCAAGACACCGAAGCTCCAGCACAAAGGTCTTGGTTGCCCGCCCTACCTCCATCCTGGCAGTCAGACGGAGATCCCAGGGAGCCAGCTGTGCTGAGGAAGGAAGGAAGCTGTTCAGATGCGTAGGAGTGCTGTGAGCCCCGGGCCCACGGGCACCAACTCCCTTGACGACCCCCAGAGCTGGCAGCTCACCCCTGCTGGAAAGGAGGACCGTGTGGTCCACAGCCAGGAAAGGGATGAGCAGGAGTGGCCTAGAGGCTTGGATCCCCAGCGCGTTCGCCTGCACAAGGAGTCCTGCCTCTCCCGACTTTGTGCAGGGCCCGCATTCAGCCCCACACCCGGGGCAGCCCATGCAGCTGCGCGTCACTGAGGGAGGATACCAAGGTAGCTAGCTGCACTCCCAGAAGGGACATTTGGGGAAGTCTGCAGAAAAAAAGAGAGACTTGTCCATCTCACACTCCCCTAGCCCCCTTCCAAGCAGTGACAAGTCTGTTCAATTCCCGGGCCTCCTGCCTCCCAGGCTGCTCTGGGGGTTCACCCCACCTTCCCAGGCCGCCAGCAGACCAGCGGTTCCAGGCCATGTGGGTCGGTCCAGGTGCCACCTCAGCTCCCAGGATGGCAGGTTTCCAGGGTACCACGACCCACGGAACTGGCGGGCTGCCTGTCTGGCCCTGTGCCCAGGCAGTCCTGAGGTCTGGAGGGCTCCCCGCCTCTCTCCTGCGTCCACCTTGGCCCCTGCAGAGGTGTGCCCATGTCCAGTCCTCCCTCCCCTCCTAACAGGGTGACTCCAGGTCTCCCTAGCCCTGCAGAATCCAGTCCAAAGCCTCTTAAGAGAAGCGTCCCTAGGTTCACCCTGCTATCCTACCCACTGGGCCTCACCTGGTACAGCATTTCCTGCTCCTCACGCAGCCTCTGCACTAGGGGAGGTGTGGTCAGCAGGGGCCGGAAGGTGAAGGCCAAAGCGTTCAGCCAGCACCTTCCTGAGGAGCCTCCATCCAGAAAGAGCCGGGGAGGCGCCAGGCCACCCGGGGGCCTTTCTGGGCACTCAGGAGGGTCGGCCGCGGTCTGGGTTGCCGAGGTCGCGCTGGGCCAAAAGAAGGGGGCAGAGCGGAGTTCAAGAACAGAAGTTGGTGTCGGCTCCCTGGGGTGGGGGCTGGAGGAGGCCGAGCCCCCAACCAGCGCGGGGCTCAGGGCCGGCCGTGCGGGACCATAGCGGGCGCCGAGGGCTACGGGGCGGCCCCGAGGGCGGCCCCGGTGGACGACCCAGCCCGAGGTCGGCGGGGCCGGGTGCCACCGGTGTCTTTTCAGCCCGGGGCAGCGCGGGCCCGGCCGGGGTCCGCCGGCGGCCACAGGTGCCGGGAGCCCGCGGGCGGGCAGCCGAGCGTGCGCCCCGCCGGCCGTGCGTCCGTGCGGGCAGCGGCCGGGCCGGGGACGGGGGCGGCGGGGGCCGGCACAGGAAGTCCCCCCGGCATCCGCATCCTGTCCCCCGCCCGCCGCCCGCGCGGCCCCGCGCCCCGGCCCCCGCTGCCGCCGCCGCCGCCGCCGCCGCCGCCGCCGCCGCCGCCGCCGCCGCCGCCGCCGCCGCCGCCGCCGCCGCCGCCGCCGCCGCCGCCGCCGCCGCCGCCGCTCTAGGCAGCCGCGAGCTCGGTGGGCTTAACCCTTCCCCGCCCGGCCACTCGCCCGGCCGCATCCCTGGGTGCGCGCGTCCGCGCCGGGGTTGGCGACTGTCGCCGCAGGAGTGTAGCGGGAGGCTCCTAGCTGGGGCCCTGCCGCCCCGCGAACGGCAGGCAAGGCCTCAAGGCGCCCCTGGCCAGGGTACAAATTGGGCGTAATTAGCACTCAATTAGATGACACTCAAGTTAGTGAAGCCCCACCCCGGGCCACCTGAAGAGGCCTCCCCCTCCTCCCCTTGGACCCCCGGTCCTGGACCCTGGAGTGGCGAGGACAGGCCTGAGGGGGCGGGGAGTGTTGCAGCCAGGACAGTGGGCGTGGGTCCCAAAGGACCAGATGGCGTCGTAGGGGCCACCCTGGTCAGCTCGTCCCTCTCTGCGCCCCCTGCTCGCTTCCTCTGTGCACAAGGCCCCCTGCCCTACCCCCACCCTCTGCCCTCCCCAGTCCCCACCCCAGCAGCACCTGGCAGCGGCCTCCCTGGACGTGCCTAGCCACTTCCCGGCTGGCCAGGGGTCCCTCCATCTCAATATCCCATCCCTTTACTGCACTGTCTCTCTGATCTGGAGATGAGTTCGCCCTGAAATCGGGATACTCCAGTTCTCTGAAAACCCAAAGAGCTGGCTATAGGGAGCTGCTCCTGGGTGGACTATGGGAATGCCCCGCTGGAGGGGGACACGAGCCCTCATGTGGTCACAGCCCCCTCCCCTCCTTACTGTCTCCATGCTCACATAGCTGCCACACGTGTGGCCCCCTTGTTCCATTTCTGGATTCTTCCTGGCCCTTCAGGCAATGGCGTTTGGGGCTTCTCCTCTGGCCCTTGCCTGAACTGCCTGTACTCTGTCTGGCAGCTTCACCTCAGACTAGGAGCTCCAGAGGGCAGGGCCACATCTTCCTCCTCCACAGAACAAGCGCAGTAACAGCCTAGCTTTGGAGACAGAAAACTCCGGGTTCCCAGGGACTCCTTCCAGCCATAGAATGAGGCCAATTATTGCCTTCCATCTGTGGGGTGGGGACTGCACCCCACTAGCCGGGTGTCTGAGGATAAGTGAGCATCCCCCTCCTGCACAGGGCAGGTGTGCACCTTCCGCTCCCCTGGGAGGGCAGAGGGCACAGCTGTCTCTGCCTTCTCCTGCCTCTTGGGAGACCTCATACCCAGAGGATCCACTCACCCCTTGAATCTTTAACCTCCCCCGCGGCTGGCTGCTTTCCAACAGCATTTACTCACTCTCATGGCTCTCTCATCTTAAAAACATACAATCCCCTCTCTCTCCTGCCCTGGTTGCCCAAACTTCCGGAAAGATGACCCATAATAGTTCTATCCACATCCCCATTAGCCTGTCCCTCCTTCCCTCTCTGCAGCCTCACCTCTGCCCCATCACTCCACCCAGATAGCTCCCTCATGTCACCAGGGACCTCCATGTCACTGGATCTCTCATCTCATTCCACCTCTAGGCAGATTTGGACATCTCTCTGGTGGCTGCTGGGAGAACACCCTTGGTTCCCCCTTCCTCCCGATCTGCTGCCTTTTCAGGCTGTGCTTCCTACCACAGGCTCCTTGCTCACCTTTACATCCTGCAAACCTGCAGTAAGGTGTCTTCCCAGGTCAGCAGTTCTCTCCTTAAGAGCATCATTTCTCTGGTCCATACCTGAGCACTGGCTCAACCACAGCCACCCTTTCCCTTTCTTCCTCATTTTCCCTTTAATTTTTTTTTTTTTTTTGCCACGCCTTAGGGCATGCAGGATCCCCAATCAGGGATCGAACCTGTGTCCCTGCAGTGGAAGCATGGAGTCCTAACCACTGGACTGCCAGGGAATTCCCTCCCTTTAATTTTTTTTTTTTTTTATCAAGGTAACACACATACCGAGCTGTGTAAGTCAAATAGTTCGACAAAATCTGTAGCAACAAGGAAAGTATCTCCTCACTTCTGAGTTCACTCCCATTTCTTCTAATATCTCTTGCCATGTTTCTAAATAACATGCTTCTAATGCTATTACTTGATTTTTCCAGTTTAGATGGTATCTATTGACATCCCACTTTGGAAGGTGCAGATTTAACTCTTTTTTTTTTTTTTTTTTAAAGAAAAAATACTTCATTTTAATTTATTGAAAATTCAATATACAATGCAGCAATTTTTCTGAGATTTAACTGTAGGACATGATTGTTGCTGGTGTTTAGTAAAAGACTCTAGTTTACACTTACCACTAATAAAATGCCTTACTGAATAAAAATGATACCAAACAAAATAAATTCAAATATTTTCTTAAAAAATCATTTTTAAGTTAGTTCCATTCAATCTAATGACTAACACAATAACAGCAAATATACTAGTTTAATATAATTGGCTGTTTTTATACAGCACATATCTTTCAGTCAACAAGTATATTATTAAATGATAGTGAACACTCAATATAACCATGTGTAGAGAACTAGGAGATAAAATTCTAAGATTTACAACCCCATCTTTTTCTTAAATTGAAGTATAGTTGATTTACAATGTTGAGTTAATTTCTGCTCTACAGCAAAGTGATTGTTATACATAAATATGTATTCTTTTTCATAGTCTTTTCCATTATGTTTTATCACAGGATGTTGAATATAGTTCCCTGTGCTATACAGTAGGACCTCATTGTTTATCCATCCTGTATATAATAGTTTGCATCTGCTAACCCCAAACTCCCACTCCATCTCTCCTCTCCCCACCCCCACTGTCTTGGCAAACACAGGTCTGTTCTCTATGTCTGTGAGTCTGTTTCTGTTTCTTAGGTAGGTTCATTTGTGTCATATTTTAGATTCCACATATAAGTGATATTATATGGTATTTTTCTTTCTCTTTCTGACTTCTTCACTTAGTATGATAATCTCCAGTTCCATCCATGTTGCTGCAAATGGCATTACTTCATTCTTTTTTATGGCTGAGTAGTATTCCATTGTATTATATGTACCACATCTTCTTTATCCATACATCTCTAGGTGGACATTTAGGTAGTTTCCATGTCTTGGCTATTGTGAATAGTGCTGCTATGACCATAGGGGTGCATGTATCTTTTTGAATTATAGTTTTGTCTGGATATATGCCCAGGAGTGGGATTGCCGGATCATATGGTTATTCTATTTTTAGTTTCTTGAGGAACCTTCATACTGTTCTCCATAGTGGCTGCACCAATTTATATTTCCACCGACAGTGTAAGAGGGTTCCCTCTTCTCCACACCCTCTCCAGCATTTGCTATTTGTAGACTTTTTAATGATGGCTATTCTGACTAGTGTGAGGCAGTATCTCATTGTAGTTTTGATTTGCATTTCTCTGATAATTAGCCACGTTGAGACTTTTTTCATTTGCCTGTTGGCCATCTGTATGTCTTCTTTGGAGAAATGTATATTTAGGTCTTCTGCCCATTTTTCGATTGGGTACAAGCCCATCTTTTATAGCTACCCCAACAGTCTAATTCTAAAGAGGATAAAGCCAATGACTTTCCTCACATGAGCTCATGGCTGAAGTTGCTTTGCTATCAAAATCTATATTTTTGATCTGTTATGAGCACTGAGACAAAACTTCAAATATTTCCCCCAAAAGAAGCATGATGCACCTCGTGATTGCCTATTCACCAACAGCAAGCACTACATTCAAAACCATTTCATCCCAGGAATTAAATTAGGTCAGCCACATTCATTGGCATTTCCTCCAGTGTAGTATAGGTAGAAAGGCTCAGTGTCACAAAGAATCTTCTTCTTTTCTTCAATGTTTAAGGCCACAGCCTTCCTCCCAAATTGACTCCCACTGCCAATTCAGTATTAGTATCACCTCTAGATATTCATGCATGGCAACTGGCTTAAACAATTAGGATAATTATTTTCCCTCCCATAACCCAAATATCACTGGTTAAAAAATACCCTAGGAAAAATATGGCAATACTTACAATGATATATTCTATTTAACATATCAAATGGTCTCCCTGGAATACCAGGACATTGTGTGCCCCCTCCTCCACCAGCCTGAAGTTTTTGCATTTTATTTTGAACACTGGTTCCACACAGTGCAGGCATGACAAGTTGCTCCAACGTAGTAGTATCCAAGTGCCCGAACAACCGTTGTCTCGGCAGCGGCAGCGGCAGCAGCAGCAGTGGACTCTGGACTGGCTGCCACTGGTTCCTCTCAGTCGCCACCAGCAGCACCGACACCACAGAGGCCGCCGCCATGTCCCTGGAGCCCGGACGCTTGTTGAAGTGCCAGATTTAACTCTTTAAACCACACAGACACATGCATACTTTCCCTCTCATACTCTTGTTGTCCAATCATTTGTCTGGTCTTTATCCCGTTTTCCGGGATACAGCTTCAAACCCTAGGCATTTCTTGCCTTTGTTATCCCTGCTGGACCCCTGGATAGCTTCAGGGTGGGTGCTAGTCATACCCTGAAGACCAACTATGTGATTCCGTAATTGGGGCTTTGAGCCAGTGATATCAACCCAACCTCTGGGGAGAAGGTGCGGGGGGAGCTGGAGATTGAAGTCAGTCTCGTGGCCAATGATTCAGTCAATCATGCCTAAGTAATGAAACCCCAATAAAATCTCTGGACACCAAGCTCAGCTGAGCTTCCTGGTTGGTGATAATCAGAGGAGGCGGATGCATTATGATTCCACAGAGAGAGGATACAGAGCGCTCCATATTCAAGACTCTCCCAGACCTTGGGTCCCTTCATGGCCCATGGCTGGTCCTGATTTTATATCCTTTATAATAAAACTGTAATCATAAGTATAGTGCTTTCCTGAATTCTGTGAGTTGACCTAGTGCATTATCAAACCCGAGTGGGTCATAGGAGCCCCTGAATTTGCAACCAGTTGGTCAGAAGTGTAGGTGGCCTGGGAAACTCCAAACTTGCAGTGGCTATCTGAGGTCAGGGCAGTGTTGTTGGGGATCATGTCCTTAACTTGTGGAGTCTGTGCCAACTCTGATGGTCAGTATCAGAATTGCAGTGCAGTACCACACCTCTCAACATAATTTTATCAGTTTTGGTAAATCCATGTTTACTGTTTCCATAATTATATCTATGCAAATGTTCACTGCTCAGCCTAGTGAATTATTTTTCTTAGTTTCCTTCTTATAAAACTCTTGGTTCTTCCTGGAATTAATCACTCCTTCTCTCTTTCTCTCTTAAATTTCTTTGATCCATTCTTAGAATCAACAGTTAAGTCTCCTCACATCTTTCCTCAGCTCTATACATGCCTCTCAACCCAACTTTCCACCTGGTGAAACTGGTCAGAAAATCTATTTGTTTCATTTTGTTTCCAGAGACATCCCTTCTGGAGCCTCCTTCCTTGGGATCCAAATTGGGCAGGTTGCCCTCAGGGCTGCTGTCATCAGCCTGGGACTCTCCACTGCCATCAATCTGGGACTTTCCTTTGCCTCTCTCTCTCTCTCTCTCTCTCTCTCTCTCCCTCTCTCTCTCACATCATTCTGTTCCCTCATACCACGTCTTTCTCTTTCTCATTGTAGTAGAGACACTTCATGCTCAACAAATATTCCAAGAGCTCCCCTATATTTCCAAGCCCTCCATGCAGTTAAATTGGGGTTAAGTGAATAATTTGGCCAAGGGACTATGAAAGGAAGTGACATATGCTACTTCTAAGACAAAGCTCTTACAAGCTGGTGTGCTTCCTCCATCTCACTCCTCTGCTGCCTTGTGGCCTTGGAGGAGATGTGTTCCAGATGGTACAACTACAAGAGTGGAATCTCAGTCGGCCCAAGGCCCGGAAAATCCATTCAGGAAAACAGCAGAATTCTCAAGTAATTAAACATAACATTTAATACAGGAAAATGGTACAAACATGTTAAAAGGGCTTCAGTATTACAAAGAGGGAAGATGAGACCACCCAGAAATTAGTGCCCTCGGGGCTGGAGGAGCAAAGGGAAAAAAATATTTCAGGGAGCTGTGTCATCAAGCCTGTTGTACCTACTGTTGGAACTGTGAGTCCAAAGCAATCTCATGGGCCCAGAGCCACCAGCCACTGGTGAAGGCACCACCAGAAACAGGAAATGTCTTCTCTTCCATCTCTCATTAGTGCATCTCACTAGTATAATAGAACCTAGCCTGAGGCCAAGACAAGGGAGTCTGGGAAATGTAGTTTGAAGTCTTGCAGCAGAAAAAGTATATGGCAAGTAAATTTTGGGGAACGCTCATGTGCAAAAACCTTCATTCTCATGTGACTGAGTATGATTACAATTGGCAGTTTCTCAAAATTTGAAAGCCACTGCTTCATTGCCTTTTGGCTTCCACTATTGCTACTGGGGATGTCCAGGGCCATTTTGATACCTGATCCTTTGCATGTGACTGGTATTTTCTCTTTGGAACCCTGTAAATCTTTTTTTTTTTTTTTAACCTGTATCCTGAAATTCCATAATGGACACTCAAGCAGCTATTTCAATCTGGAAACTCATGTTTTTCTGTTCTGAGAAATGAATTTGAATTATCTATTTGATAGTGTCCCCCTTCTGCTTTCTTTTCTCCTTTTCCAGAATTTTGATTATTCAGATATTGGATCTTCTGGACTTCCCTGGTGGCACAGTGGTTAAGAATCCACCTACCAATGCAGGGGACATAGGTTCGAGCCCTGGTCGGGGAAGATTCCACATGCCGTGGAGCAACTAAGCCCATGTGCCACAGCCCATGTGCCATGAGCCTGTGCTTTAGAGCCCACGAGCCACAACTACTGAGCCCATGTGCCACAACTACTGAAGCCCAGGTGCCTAGAGCCTGTGCTTCGCAACCAGAGAAGCCACCGCAATGAGAAGCCCGTGCACCATAACGAAGAGTAGCCCCCGCTGGCCGCAACTAGAGAAAGCCTGTATGCAGCAACAAAGACCCAACACAGCCAAATAAATAAATTAAATTAATAAATTTATATATAAAAAAAGATATTGGACCTTCTGTTCTAATCCCCTCAAGTCATTTTATCTCCTCTTCCATTTTTCATCACTTAAACTCAGTGCACTTTCTAGAGCCCAGATCTAGAGGATGTTCTCTTCATTTTCTTCTAAGCTTTTTGTTGAATGTTTTTATTTCTGCTATCCTGTCTTCAATTTCCCAGTGCTTTCTTATTCTCAAGCTGTTGCTTTTCTCATACTTGCTGTTCTTGCTTCATGATTACAATACTTGCTCTCATCTCTCTGAGGACAGTTAACTTTGTTCCTGCTCCCTCTGTCATCTTTGTTTGCTGCAGTTCCTTTTGTTGTTTGTTTTTTAATGTGTTTGTTTTGTTTCTCCTGTTGGAGGGTTTCCTAGCATGCCAGGTGACCCTGGTTGTTCAGTCATATGTGTGGAGTGAGTCACTGCATACAAGAGAGGGAATTGAACAACTGGAGAACTTCACCAGGGGGAGGGGTGTCCTCAAACACCTGTTAGTACTTTCTTTTAGGCCACTCAGTTTTTCTAGAAAGGACTAATTTAAGCTCTAGCCTGGAGAAGTAACTTGATCATGAGCATTCTAGGAGCCTAACAGGGAAGAGAGGATTCTCATATTACAGAAAGCAGATTTCATCAAATCCCCCTGCTTTCAAGATGAACTCTCCCTGCCTTTGGCTCTGCCTGGTGTTCCCCAAATCAGAGCCTATTTGGTCTCAGGCTTCTGCCAGGGTGGAGGAGGAGGGGTCTCTTAGCTGGATACAAAGTGGGAGGGGAGGTCTGGGGGCCCACTGACTCCTTTTAATACTTTGTACCAATCTTCCTGTTTTTAGGAAGCCTTGGATTCTGCAGGCTTTCTGGGGGTCTGGGGAGCTCAGGTGGCTGCTTCTTGGCTTCTTCCTCTGACAGATTAGCTTTCAGCTTTCTCTACTCTGCTAAGTCAGGTCCACTAGGTCATCTGTGTTCCAGTTTCTAAAATCTGGTGGATGGGTGCTTTTGGTTTTCTCTTTCCTGAGAGAGGCAGAGACTGTGTGCAAAAGAAACAGAGAGAAGGAAAGACAGAAAGAGGAAATTACACAGGCCTGGAGGGGGAGTGGACTGTGACAGACCTGCACCCAGATGGCAACTCTGGGGCTGCAGGAAGTTGCATCTCCAGCTGGGAATGATGGAGAAGGTCCAGAATATGCTCTGGGGAAGAGTGACCGATGAGGGGGCAGCACTGACTGCCCAGGCTGTGTGTAAAGCATGCAGGGTGGTGACCAGTGGGCAAATGTCAGGCATCGTTTCCCCAGGTCCAACCCCCCACCCTCCCATCCCCCAATGTTCACTCTCAGAGAACTGGAACTGAGGTGTTTGCCTGGTTCTGAGTTTAAAATCTGATTGGGGCTGTAAGTCAGCTGTGCTCCCACAGCAGGAGACCTGGGAGGCACATGTTCTTGGCCGCCACATCTAAACTCCTAGGAAAGACTCTGAATGGCTCAGCTCAGTTTGGCTGTCCAATCTACATTGCCCGAGCTACAGGGATCATGTGCCAGGGAGGCAGGGGGGAAAAGGAATCTAGTGGTGTGTTCAGCTACCACCTAATTTCGGTGGAAGGAGAAAATGGATTTGGTGGACAGCCAGCAATCTCAGCTCTACAAAGTTAGGAGGGAAACTGCACCTTAGGGCTTGGTGGTAGCTCAAGCCCAGGGAACAAAGGGGCAGAAGTTCTCCTTTCAAACGCCTTAGTCAAGCTACACCTATGGAGGAAAGCATGTTTCGCCCCATTTTGTGGCTGAAAACACCAGGGCTCAGAGGATTAAATGAACTCCTCCAAGGCCACAAAGGGCGAGCTGGGGTCATATCCTGGTCTGTGGAATTCTAAAGCCCATGCCCTTGATCACTCCACCAACTAATTCCTAGTCCAGCAGGTGACGCAAAATCCCAGGGGCTGAGGTGCAACTGGGGTCACCATGCAAGTATCAGCAACTGCGTTAAACATTTCTCAACTTTATTTTCTTGATCTGATCACAAAGTTAATACTGCTTGTTGCAAACACTTTAAACGTGATATTCATTCAGCGAAGATTTACAGGTTGGCTTTCATGTGCTCTCTTTACCAGCCCTAACAGAAGTGTGATGCCAAATGCAAGCCATAAAAGTCATTGAAAAAAAATTTGTAGCCACATTGAGAGTAAAAAGAAACAGGTGAAATTAATTTTAGTAATGTTTTATTTAACCCAATCTATCCAAAATAGTATCATTTCAATGTGTAATTGATTTTTTAAATTATGAATGAGAACTTTTACTTTCTTTTTATATA